AATTTGAAACAAGTGCATTCGCGATTTCTCAGCTTACACGTGGATCGGTGATTTCTCAGAGCATGAAACAAGCGGATCGGCGAACTCTCAAAGGCTTTGATTCTGATTCGGGTGTGATGTGCCTGTGATGCGGCTGTGGTCCGAGCATGAAACAAGCGGATCGGCGAAGTCTCAAAGGCCCTGATTCGGGTGGGATGGGGCTGTGATTGGGCTGTGGCCCGAGCTTGAAACAAGCAGATCGGCGATTTGTCAGAGGCTGTGATCAGGTTCTGATGTGGCAGTGATTTGGCTGGGATTCGGCTGTGATTCTGAGACGGAACGGCGATGTATCAGAACTTGAAATATATGGATTGGCAAGTGCATCTCAGAGTTCGAAACAAGTCATCTTAGTTCCAATGAATGTTTCTGAAGACACTATTTAACTATTTGAGAATGAAATAGGTGCATTCGCGATGTCTCAGAGCTTGAAACAAGTGGATCGGTGATTTCTCAGAGCATGAAACCAGCGGAGGCGAACTCTCAAAGGCTTTGATTCTGATTCGGGTGTGATGGGGCTGTGATTGGGCTGTGGCCCGAGCTTGAAACAAGCGGATCGGCGATTTCTCAGAGGCTGTGATCCGGTTCTGATGTGGCAGTGATTTGGCTGGAATTCGGCTGTGATTCTGAAACAAAGGGATCGGCGATGTGTCAGAACTTGAAACACATGGTTCGAAAGAATTGGATTCGGCTTTCGTGTCATGTGGCTGTGGCTATGATTCGGTTGTGATGCGGCTATGATGTGGCTGTGGTTCGGCTTTGTTTCGGGTGGAATGCGACTGTGATGAGGCTGTGGTTCGGCTGTGATTCGGTTGCAGTGGTATGATTCTGCGGTCCGAGCCTGAAGCAAGTGGATCGGCGATCTTTCAGAGGTTCCTGTGCCTGTGATGGTGCGATCAAGCGGCTGTGATTCGAGTGTGATGTGGTTGTGTGGGATTCGGCTGTGATCCGGCTAAGCCATCGATTGCTCGTCTCGTTGCTGAAACTCAGTTCACCTTTCGTGGCAGGTCGTAAGTTCTCTGAGAAGTGCCGGATTGTGATGTGAAATCATCGATTGCTTGTGTCGCTGCTAACGCAGAGCTCACTTTTTCTAGCCGGTCCCAAACTCCTGGACATCTTAGTTTCAATAAATGTTTCTGAAGACCCTATTTGAGAAAGAATTTTTATCGCTGATATCTCAGAGATGGATGCAAGCCGAATAACGATCTGTCAGAATTTGAAACAAGTGCATTCGCGATTTCTCAGCTTGAAACACGTGGATCGGTGATTTCTCAGAGCATGAAACAAGCGGATCGGCGAACTCTCAAAGGCTTTGATTCTGATTCGGGTATGATATGCCTGTGATTCGGCTGTGGTCCGAGCATGAAACAAGCGGATCGGCGAAGTCTCAAAGGCCCTGATTCGGGTGTGATGGGGCTGTGATTGGGCTGTGGCCCGAGCTTGAAACAAGCGGATCGGCGATTTGTCAGAGACTGTGATCAGGTTCTGATGTGGCAGTGATTTGGCTGGGATTCGGCTGTGATTCTGAGACGGAACGGCGATGTATCAGAACTTGAAATATATAGGTTGGCAAGTTCTCAGAGCTCGAAACAAGTCATCTTAGTTTCAATGAAGGTGTCTGAAGAAATTGTTTGAGAAAGAATTTTTATCGCTGATATCTCAGAGATGGACACAAGTAGATCGAAGATTTCTCAGAGTTTATAACAGGTGCATTCGCGATGTCTCAGAGCTTGAAACAAGTGGATCGGTGATTTCTCAGAGCATGAAACAAGCGGATCGGCGAAGTCTCAAAGGCTCTGATTCGGGTGTGATGGGGCTGTGATTGGGCTGTGGCCCGAGCTTGAAATAAGCGGATCGGCGATTTGTCAGAGATTGAGATCCGGCTGGGATTCGACTATGATTCTGAAATAAAGAGATCGACGATATATCAGAGCTTGAAAGAAATAGTTTTGCGAATTCAAAATTTTCGAAAGAAATGGATTCGGCTATCTTGTGCCTGTCATGGGGCTGTGATTCGGTTGTGAATACGGCTATGATAGGGTTGTGGTTCGGCTTTATTTCGGGTATAATACGGCTACTGATGGGCGACTTATCCAGAATCTATGATCTGGTTCTGATATAGTATTGATTTTGAATAGGAATATATTGGGATATCCAAATGAATTATCGTAATTTGATTAGATTTCTACTTGATTCTTCGAATTAATAGGGCGACAGGGCAAGACCTCCAAATCAAGGCCTTGGGGCTAGGCCTTGGGATCTGGGCCTTGGGACCTGGGCCTAGGCCTTAGGCCTGGACCTTGGGATGGGGGCCTAGGTAGGATTTGGGTCTCGGCCTAAGGCTGGTAGAATCCCAATCAATCTTGTTCTTAAGATAAAGGACTAGATCTAATCGATGACCATAGTAAAGATGAGAATAAGGAAGACGACGACGATAAAGACGACCATTGAAATATAGTAGCAAAGGAGGCTCTAAACAAGCCTTGGCCTTGGGACTTTAGGCCTTGAACCTGGCGCTAAGAGAATGCCAGCCATTCCCCCCAAATAAGATATAGAAATATCATCCTTTGGAATTATAACTAGATCTGATCAAGATCATGGATTAGTGTGGGCTAAGAATTAGGACTAGATCTGATCTCGTAACTTAATCTTGGCCCCCTAGGTCTTAGACCGGAATCGACCTACTAGTGATTTTGCTAGCGGCAAATTTTAGTTTAATAAAAGATTCTTAAGAAAATATTTCTGAAAAAAAAATTTTGTCCATCTATAATAAATATATTTTCAATTTCGGTATTCGTGGCTTATGACGATATCCTCTTTATCTTTCGAAAATTTTTATTTTTCTTTCTGATTAAAATTAAGCAAGATGATAGATGAAGAGCGGAAAATAAAACAAAATATATATATATATGTCGTGGAGAATCATTACAAAAAGAAATAAAATAAAAATTATAAATAAAGGAAATATCAAATTTTTAATTTATTATATTAGAATAATTTTCGATCATGAAACGATATATTTATTTTCGATTTTATTTTAATTGTTATAAAATTATATCGGAACGAGTTCGCGTATCGAATCCCTCAAGCCTTGTAAGCCCAAAATCTAACTCGTAAACCCTACGCGTCTGTACCTTTATATGTGTATATATATTGTATAAATATATATCCAAGAAATTATATTCATATATATATATATATACATATATTTTTTTTTCAAATGATTTTTTGTATATATATATATATATATATCAGAAACGGTTGGGTTGAGAGTTGCTTGGGTTTTGAGGGATTCTTTAGTCTTCATGCAGGGGGCTTCAGCAAAGCGAAACCGCATGCAAAAATTCAGAATGCCTATCCCTGAACCCTGAACTCTAAAACCCATAAACCTCGAAAAAACTTAACCCCCAAACCCTAAACCCTGATGCCGGAGTGTCCGTTGGAATGCCCGTTCGGTCTGAACCCCCACCAAGTGTCGCCAAGCCCGTTGATCGAAAGGAGCGCGCTGCCAACCCCAAAGCTAAAGCTGCGCTTGATAAAGAGTGGAATAAGCTCATCAATCAAGGGTGTTGGGAATACGCGTCCGTGCGCGAGTGGCGCGATGTCTCCAGTGAATTGAGGTGTTCAAGTTCCGCGAGGGTTTCAGTAAATTGAGGTGTTCAGGTTCCGCGAGGGATAGATGGCAAAGCTTGCAATGCTGCTGGTGTTGATACGAGCGTGCTGACACGTGGCAGTTATGCAGGTGACACTCGTCGAAGACACAAAACACGTTCTCCGTTGCGGAAACCGCTGCTTTGCAGGGCTTGAGTGCATGCAACATGTTTGCTACCGCACGAAACGCCAGCACGAAGCTGCGAAGACATACTCTTGTTCTGCTGTGGAGCTAGCAACAACCTACCCATCGACTTTTCAAGCGGTTCAGCGTCATCTGCAAATTCTGCAGGTAAGCGCAGGCTGGCTACAAAGACCAGGTGAATTTTGGACTTGTGCCTCAGCATATGTACAAGCGGAGACCGCACAAAGGCAAGTATCCGCAAGGTATAGAAGCCAGAAAGGACATTGAGCAGGAGGTGGAGCGTAACGGCAGGTCTGCTCCGGCTAAGCGCCTACATCGTAGCAGTAGTAATGGTAGTGGTGGTAGTAAGTAGTAACAGTGGTAGTAGTAGCAGTAGTAGTAGTAGTAGTAGTAGTAGTTAGCAGTAGTTGAAGTCGTAGTAGCAGTAGTAGTAGCAGTAGTAGTAGCAGTAGTGGTTGTAGTGGCGGTGGTAGCAGTAGCAGAAGAAGTCGAAGAAGAAGATGTAGTCGTCGTAGTAGTAGTAGTAGTAGCAGTCGCAGTAGCAGTAGCAGTAGCAGTAGTAGTAGTAGTAGTAGTAGCAGCAGTAGCAGTAGCAGTAGCAGTAGCAGTAGCAGTAGCAGTAGCATTAGCAGTAGTAGTAGCAGTACCAGTAGCAGTAGTAGTGGTCGTAGTAGTTGTGGTAGTAGTAGTTGTAGTAGTAGTGGTAGTAGTCATCGCAGCGATAATGGTATCTCAGTAGTAAGAGTAGGGGAGTAGTAGTAGTAGTAGTAGTAGTAGTAGTAGTAGTAGTCGTGGTGGTGGTGGTGATGGTGGTGGTGGTGGAGGCAGTGGTAGCAGTGGTAGTAGTAGAGTGGTAGTAGTAGTGGTAGTGGTAATGGCATGAGTAGCAGTCGCAGTAGCAGTAGCAGTAGTAGTCGTCGACGTCGCAGTCGTAGTGGTAGTGGTAGTTATAGTACGTAGTCGTCGTCCTCGTAGTAGTAGTGGTAGTGGTAGTGATAGTAGCAGTAGTAGTAGTAATTAGTAGTGGTAGCAGTGCTAGTAGTGGCAGTATTAGTAAGATTGGTAGTGGTAGTGGAGGAAACACAGGTGAGCCCAATGTCCCCTTGTGCGTATTGCAGGGCTACCTGGCGGATACAACATGATCCCACTACGGTTCTAAGATCAACTCTCAGTTGGATCTCCGGCCTCAGGGTGAGAGCTCGAGGACATTCGGCAAAGGGGGGACGGCTTCGGTTTGTGCAGAGCTGGGGAAACTGACCGCGAGACTCTACCTCACAGGCAGTTTTTTCACTAATGATGCTCAATGAGTCAATGATGAAGAAAGATGGGTTTTGGCTGGCCGTGCCGCTGTTGCTTTGCATACCACAATTGACTTGAGTACTGCGGCGGTCTTTCAGCTGGTCCCGATCGTGGCTTAATCTGTGGTGCAACAAACGTTCAACCATGGAAGTCGAGGGAGCATAGTTCCGCGCAATCATCAGCATCATCCGATGCAAGCAGAAGGGTATAGTACAGAAACTATATCATTTAGGGCGTGCCTTCGCCCGCCGTCTTGCGAAACCACTGCGTGGCTTTGCAAGTGTATCAGACTATGGCACATTTTCGGCACTCGCATTTCCGACAAGCATTCTCAGCGCTTTGCTGCCACCCAGATACGTAACTCTACATCCTAAAGCAAGCCCAGCAAGTCCCCTCAGCGCATAGCATTGGTGCCAGTAATCAGCGATGGCCCTGTCTGAGAAAGTTCCTCCCCAGGCATGGCAAAGTGATGGTCAACCTACAAGTTTCAGAGTTTCAGGCAGCTGTGAGTTTTGGGGTTGGGCTTGCTTTAGCTCTGCCTTGCCCTCAATGCCTGTAGCGGCTTGCGATAGCTTGCGGCTTCGCCAGACACTGCGTTTTCTATGTGGGGTTGCTTTCATCTACTTACAAGAATGCTGTGCAGTATGTGTTTAACGCTCCTGCCGTGACAGGCGCTCGGTTGCCAAAAACTGACTGAACCCCCGAAAATACAAGTTCTGGAATCCGAGCTGGATCTGTGCCTACCCTCCAGACTTGCGTCACACTGAACTGGACAGTCCTTGATACCAGGCCCTCATCTGCTTCCAGGTGTACGGAAGTTCGTCCTGGGTCCACATAACAAGTCAAAATACACCATGGGCAAAGGCATCAAATCGGTGCATCTTGAGTACTGCCTTCCAATCATTTTGGGATGAGAAGGCTGCGACCAAGGCTGTTTATGGCTTTCTCGCCCAGCTTCACTTGGCAGAAAAAGCTTGCCTGAGGAACCCTAAATCGCCTCGGCCCTGGTAGTGGACTTGAGCCCAGGGGCTAGTGGATCGATGCGCGTTTGGCAGTCCACCTGACACTCACTGTAGGGATTCGAGACAACCAGTACTCTCATTACTCATGCTCACGTGATTGATCAGAGGGTGGGAACAATCAAACACATGCTATCGAACTATGGATCTGCTGAGAATAAACTGCATACCTTCTGTAAATGGCAAGTACTTTGAGTAAGAACTTTCAGCAGGTGAGCTGTCGTACTTGAAAAACATGTTTCCAACACATTTAGTTCGTACCTTGACGAATACTATTTGTAAGCAATATCAGCCGCACCACTAGTTAGTAGTGCTGTTGAGTACTATCCCATGCCTCCAGTGGTAAATGACTGCTCGTCTTGCTAGACAGTACTACTACCGAGTACCAATATTGAACGTTCCTGGCCAATGCCTTGGTTTTATCGGGTATTACTAAGAAGACTGATGAGACACATCTGAATATCAAGTTCAAGCAACACGTATTGACGGTTAGCGGAGGCTAGAGTAAATAGTACTCAATGCAAGTGCTACTGGTAATAAGTATCTATCGTGATCGAAAGTGCTACTGGCAAGTACCCTTCGTGTTAGTACTGCCTCTCATGAAATACCAATCTTGAGCATTACTGGTTAGAGAAAACTATTGTTGAATACAAGTAAGTGATAAGTTAGTAACTTTAACCTAGAATATCCGTGACCAGTACATAGCAATATGGTGAGTGCCATCCCATGTCCCATTGTTAAGTACTACCAGTGAATACCTGTCAGACAGCGCTACTACGAAGTACCAATCCTAAAATTCCTGGTTAGGAATACTATCCGTTGAGAAACTGCTGGTAGTAAGTAATATTGTTGCGTGGGGCATAGTTAGCTAACGTTGGAAATGTGGGAAACACCATAACAGCGAACATAATCTGAAACAAATGCGAATACAACGCAAGCCAGCTTCCGAAAAAAGACCCCGACCAATGGAACAAAAAAACAGCAAGGCAGCAACTGGAGGCCAGAGAAATGCAAAATAGAAGAACCAGGAGGGCCGAAACTGAAAACTTAAAAGGACAACGAAGAGAAAGCAAAAAGGAAATAGCTAGACAACTACAGCCAAAACAAAAGAAATGACAGAGACCAAACATTGGCGACGAAAGACCAGCAAAGCAATTTCAAAAGACGACACGTGAAAACACAGAAGCACCCATGGATCATCAAAGCGAACATATTGAAACACGAAGACCTACCAACGGAAAAAGGAGCAAACCACATGGAAACAACGAAACAGAAGAGGTCACAACATCAACCCGGAACACGAAGGAAAGTTAATAGACAAGGCGGCAAAGGAAAAGGCGAAGCTAAAAGCCAACATCATGTAGCTAAAGAGCGCACATAGCAACAACAGCAAACGTAATGGCACGGATAAAGCGCTCTGATTCTTCGATCCGACGCAGGTTTCAGAAAGTTTCTACTGTTGGGGCTCAGCCTGGACCACCTTCACTCGCAGGGCCAGTCAGTGCAACTTGAACGGACTTTTACCGATGCCGTGGGAAGCGGGGGGATGACACACGAGACATGGCAATGGCCAAGCCAAAAAACAACACAATCACACACAAGCAAAATAAGAAGAGCACAAGAGGTTAAGCAAACCAAACAACTGCAGAACATTTTTCTGGAAAGAGAGACCCGGTGGCCAAAAGCGGGGTGAAGAAAGCCGGGCCTTCCTTCATAGAGCTTAAAAACTAGCTTCAAGGCTCCACAAGATTTTTGGCCACAGAGCGATTCAAAGCTAGCCTCAGCGCCTGGAAAGTTTTTCCTCACGGAGATATTCAGAGCCTTTCAAGACTTTTGGCCACAGAGCTTACACACTCTAGCTCCAAGGCCTGCGGGAAGAACTTTGGCCGCCGAGCTTCAAAACTAGCTCCAAGGCTTGGCAAGATTTTGGGTGGGCGTCTAATGTTTACATGCGAGGTAATGTCCGCACTCAGTACATGCATGAAACGCTTGCTTGTGCATGTTGGACAGACTGCTTCGTGTCACGGTCGTGGGAGCGTCCAACGTACATCTGAGTGAACGTCCACTCTGACCACATGCATGAAATGGCCATGCTGACCACATGCATGCAAAGCTCGCCGCTTTTACACAATGATGAAATTTAGACGACAAGACGAACTTTGGGCGGGCTTCTGGCCCACCATTACGTCGTGACACTCAGTACCCTGCGCTGCAAAGGGGCTGGAGAACACAACGTAAACACGACTTGCAGTATGTTTTAGCCAGCGTGTCAATTCACCAAAACCAGTAGACAAACAACCGCTGTACCTTAAACCGAAACACTCAAGTTCTGAACACAAGCCTTCAGTGCTCTAAAATTGCCCAACATGTCTTCCATCAAACCTTCAACCTCAACCTGTCTGAATCTAAACTCTAGATTTGCCGACTTCAGCGGTGCTGGCGTAGCCTAGCATGGATCGTGGGCTCTGCATCACTTCAACTCCAAAAGCACGAAATATCAAGTCCCGTCGGCTTGCATATCGACTGAAGCTTGCGACCTTTTCAGGCTCCATTGTGTTCACTCTTTGGTTCGGATTTTGTTTCCACTATTGCTTCGTTTGAACTACACTACGCCATTTGGTTTCTTGTTGGATTTGGGGTCGTTTGTCCGCCGGCCCCTGCGGGGGCGGCGCTTAGAAGTTGTGTTGCAGGTTCGTTGCTCGGTTTGTTTTTGTTTACATAATTCCAGCTCAATGCATGCCCAACCCTTTTTGGACCCTGCCCGGCTCCATCGAGCCCACTGCATGCCCAACGCAGTATGAATTAATGAATTCAACCCAATGCATGCCCAACCCCTCCAAAAGCATCCGTTTAGCCCCACGTGGCCCTGTGTCCCACCCACCCCCCACCGGCTCACTCGAGCCATCGCGGCACACTGTGGCCCCTCCCACCGCGGCAGACTCTGGCCCAGACCCATAGCCGTCTTTCAGTGTAGTAGTACTCGTATTCATTAGTACCATTAGTTCGAGCCCAATGCATGCCCAATCATCCCACCCCAGCCTGACCCAGCTGCCCTTCTGCCCTCCTGCATTCCCGTTGCCCTGCAGATTCCTGTGTTTAGAGTCCAGGCAAGCACAACCCTCCACGGTGGGAGGATTTGTCGTAATGAGTAATATTGCAACTATAATTTACTAATTGTCGCGAGCACTGTTTCGGCCGCGGTTTGGGACTTGCTTGCCTTAACATTGGATTTTGCAGGAAAGCCGAAAAACGCAGGTGCAAAATCGTCCAAGTGATTTTCGATGAACGAAAATCCTTCCCCACCCCCGCCCCAACCGTCCCCCCCACCCTGCATCAACGCACAAGCTGCACAAGCCGGACTATGCAAAACTGCATTTGCAAAGGCTACCATACAAAGATAAAAACATTCAAGGGCGGACGTTGGCGTTGCAAACCTACCGTGCGACCTTGAAATTTGGAAAGTCTACGATCCAAAAATACAACAATTCAAACTCAAGGGTGGACGTTGGCGTTACAAACTTTACAGTGTCCTTGAAACTTGCAAAGACTACCATACAAAGATACAAAAAACTCAGATGTCCCCGTTACAAATTTACAGTTTCCTTGAAAATTGCAAAGCCTACCATACGAAGATACAAAAATTTCAAAGGTGGACGTTGGCGCTACAAACTTACAGTGTCCTGGAAGTTTGCAAAGTCTACCATACAAAGAAACAAAAATTCAATTGTGGACGGTGGCTTTACAAACTTAGAGTGTAAATGTACATTTGCAAAGTCTAACATACACAGATGCAAAGGTGGATGTTGCCGTCACAAACTTACAGTGTGCCTTTCTACCATACAAAGACATACGAAGATACACACATTCAAAGGTGGACCTTGGTGTTACATTTGCAAAGTTTACAAAGATACAAGTATTCGAGGGCGGACGTTGGCGTAACAAACTTTTAGTGTCGTTGTAATTTGCAAAGTCTACCATACAGAATTGTGCAGATCCGCGCTACAAACTTAAAGAGTAGGCGTTGCAAGCTACTTACACTGTCCGTGATGTTTGCAAAGTCTACCATACAAAGATACCAGAATTCAAGGGTGGGCTCGTTGGCGTTACAAATTCACAGTGTCCTTGAGCTTTGCAACGTCTACCATGCCAATATACCACAGTTCAAAAGTGTACGTTTGCGCTACAAACTTAAAGTGCAACTTGAACTTTGCAAAGACTACCATACAAAGATACCAAGATTCAAGGGTGGCCGGTGGCGCTACAAATTTACAGTGTCCTTGAGCTTTGCAACGTTTACCATGTCAATATACCACAGTTCGAAAGTGTATGTTTGCGCTACAAACTTAAAGTGCAACTTGAACTTTGCAAAGACTACCATACAAAGACAGCGCTGCAAATTTACAGTGTCATTGAAATTTGCAAAGTCTACCATACAAAGATACACAAACTCAAGCGTGGACGTTGGCGTTACAAACTTTACAGTGTCCTTGAAACTTGCAAAGACTACCATACAAAGATACCAAAAACTCAAATGTGGCCGTTACAATTTTATAGTGTCCTTGAAATTTACAAAGTCTACTGTACGAAGATGCACAAATTCAAGTGTGGATGTTGGCGCTACAAACTTACAGTGTCCTGGAAGTTTGCAAAGTCTACCATACAAAGAAACAAAAATTCAATTGTGGACGGTGGCTTTACAAACTTAGAGTGTAGATGTACATTTGCAAAGTCTAGCATACAAAGATGCAAAGGTGGATGTTGCCGTCACAAACTTACAGTGTGCCTTTCTACCATACAAAGACATACGAAGATACACACATACAAGTATTCGAGGGCGGACGTTGGCGTAACAAACTTTTAATGTAGTTGAAACTTGCAAAGTCTACCATACAGAATTGTGCAGATCCGCGCTACAAACTTAAAGAGTAGGCGTTGCAAGCTACTTACACTGTCCGTGATGTTTGCAAAGTCTACCATACAAAGATACCAGAATTCAAGGGTGGGCTCGTTGGCGTTACAAATTCACAGTGTCCTTGAGCTT